ACAATTATATAAAATTATATATATTTTTATATAATTTTATATAATTATATATAAAACATTTTTTTCTGAGTCTGCATTTATATTTGCCGTTTTTCGTTTTTAATATAAAAAGATATGCTTCATACGTTATATGTATAACTCTCATCGCAATATTAAATTGCATTAATTAAGTAATAATTTTAAGATGCAAGACAATGCGTTCTTTCAACGTCGCCATTTTCGGATACAGTATCCTCTATAGAGCTGTCCGGCCAGGAGCTGTTGAAAATACTATTATCATCATCGTTGTCGTCGTTAATATTATCTTCATCTCGATTTTGAATTGCAAGTTCGGAACGTGATGGTATACTTGGATCTATACAGAAAAGCTAGAAGAAACACGATAGTGTGTGTATAGTCAATTTAATCTCTCTCCCCTCTCTCTTTCTCTCTCTTTCTCTCTCCCTTTCTCTCTATGACAGATAATGTCTTTATAGAGCTCAGTCAAATAATTAGAGGAAGAAATTGTTATTTTTCTCCCTATTTCTCTTGTGGGACTTGATATACTTGTGAATAAAAGGAAACGCGCATGAATCACACATTCATCAATGCGATTAGTCTGTATTCTACTGTACTGCTTTTATCAAGAAGAATGTGATACCAAAAATTGTTCTTAAATGACATGTCCTTAAGATAATAAGAAAAATAGAAGAGATTACAAAGAGATAATTTTTACATACGTACATTCCCGGATGATTGCATTATCGAAAGTTCTCCTTTCGAAGGCACCCATAGTTTAATGTTGTCATCACATCCGCTTGTCGCAAGAATGGGAATATGCGGATGACTCTCTAAGCAACTTACCTATAAATTAAATTTTAAAAAGTCAATATTTTTTCGTTCATACGGCAAATAAGAACAATTTATTTATATCAAATTTATGAAATATAGAAAAACTTACGGATTCTTTATCTCCTGCCATACATTGTACGATAGATTCCGAATTTTTTTCCCAAATAAATATATTATTAGCGGATCCAGATATAACATATTCGCTTTTAGGTCCGAAAAAATTACTTCCTAATACTGTAATCAACCAATACAAGGCATGAGTAATTAACTAAATATTAATAGATCGGAATTATTTAAAGCATCGCTTTCTCTCAACTAAACTAGCAAATTCTAAAAGAGACATCTCTATAGAAAGATTTTTATAAAGAAATCTCTTAACAACACACACACACATCACACACACGCGCGCGAAAATTAATTAAAAAGTGTATCACCGAATGCGGTTTTTGCATATTATAGCATAATTTTTTTCTGTTTTCTATAAACGCGTATAAAGAAACGTTTAAGAATTAAAAAGATTTATATAGAGTCATGAATAATGTAAAATAATGTAATTGCATTTCATGTATAACCTACATTGTGATCTATTATAATTCATATAATTCTGATACATATGGCCGTAATCTCCACCTGACAACGTTGTTAATTTATTAAATAGGAATAAGTTTTTGTTGTTATACGAAGCGAGAATTTCTGTTCCGTTATGATTATACATAGCAGATATTACAAATACATTTCTATCATTGTCCTAAAACATTTAAATTATATATGTAATTAAACATATGTAATAACACATTATATTATTCTGTTGTTTTGATAGTAAACTTTTTTTAGTAATACAATTAATACAAGACGTACAAAATAATTAGGCCATAGTTTATAAAGCGGCTTTGAAACTTTTCGCCGATCGTATATCATTACACAGCAGGACTGACCGGCGATGCAAAATTCATTACTATTTGAAGGATTAGAATGTATACTGTATAATAACATATCATTTAATGAACTTTCATTTACTGCAAGTAACCTATATGGATAAAAAAATTATATATGTTATAGAGGATGTATTATAAGAGAGTATAATTATAATAAGGAAAAAAGTAAAAAAAAACATTTTTATCATATAATTGAAACCCAAGATACATATGTATTGATTGAGCCTACTTATACTTGTAACTTAATGATCATTTCAGCAGTTATTGAAATCCAATAATCTTAGGTATCAATCATAACTGAACTCCTGATATAAAAAATTAATATCTGGGGGGGGGGGGTAGATATGCCATATAAGGTAAACATAAAGCACATAAAAAAATATAAATATATATTTGAACTTTTTAATTGCGATTACTCACTCTGTTGGTTCCCTCTCCCGGATATCTATGGATAATACTTTTGAGTCAGTTCCAGCAGAAAAGATTACATGAGGTATTTCAGGATGCACAGCCAATTTGTACGACCTTCCATCGTGCATCGCCAATTTCTTCGATGAGCTACTTTCAATATCTAACAAACGTACCCAACCATCTTCACCAGAAATAGCTATAAAATGTTCTAACGGCAGCCACATGGCCTAAACTCATACAATTAAAAATTAGGAAAACTGGTTAAGATTACATTCCAAAACGTCCTTGATGTATTCCCTGGTAGCAAGCTAACGTCAAAATAATGTCTTTTGACGTCAAAATGACGGCCTTTGACGTCAAAATGACGTCAAAATGACGTGTGTTGCTACCTGGGTTACGTACATTATATATTTCGAATAAAATATTCCTCGGAGAGGACATTTTAGAATGTATCCTAGAAAAAGATTAATAAACATGTTCTTTTAATATAATTACATTCAAATAATTATAATTATACAACACTCTAATCGCGATGCTTTAATTAATTATAAATACATACGTATAATATAGAGATGCTATCATCATTTGTAAAGCAGCAATTTTTTTTCCCTAACCCAAATAGAAATTATATCACAAACGGAACACAATAATAAATTTCCTTTGTGATTGAAATTTAAGATAGCTGTTCCACAGTCCTATAAATAACATAAATCAAATGTCAATGCATACCATTAAATAATGATACAAGAATAGCTTATTGTTAGTAATGGTTTTATAATACAATGTATAAATCTGGGTAGTTCAATGTATAACATTTACAAGGCGAATAATTTACCGATACTTCTTCATTAAGTTTATACATAAGTTGGAGCCGCTCTACTGCATATAAAGAACCATAGAATCGTCTTTCAAATAATGGATTGCTACCTATTTGGCGATTTAACACTTCCGGTACAATATGCCAATTAGGAAATAATTTTTTTATTTTTAGGTAATTAGCTACTTTTTTATTGTTCTCATCTTCATCTCCCTCTTGTTCCTCCCATTCATTCTCGTTAGTAACTCTCCATTCATTCCAATCATCTATTAAAAATTCAAACTTTTACATCTTATCAAATAATGCAAATGTTTGAAAAAATATAAAAATACCTTCATGTTCGTATGAATTAGATTGGTAATTATTAGCAATTTCTGATCCTGCTCCTAAATTTGTATTCAATGATTCGTTCTGAGCTGATTCATTTATCAAATGACAATTTTGCTGCTCCGCTATTAATGTATTTCTTTGAAACGTCACTGTATTGTCATTTAAGTTTCCTGCACTGGTATTGCACTCACTTTCATTTAATTTTTGTCGCTTATTCGAAACTTCATCCGAACTATCGTCTAATTTTTCTATTAATGTATCACTATTGGTCTGTACTTGATTTTTCGAAATACTTCTTTTGATTTTATCCTGATTTGTGTGCAATATGCTTGCTTCGTCAGTACAAGAAAGAAATGAATTATTATCTTGTGAGATAGTAGCTTCTGATAAGTCAACCAAATTCAAACTGGTAGAATAGAATATTTCTTTTAACATATAGTTAGTTTTATCACATTTATTAGTTGTTATTTTATTCTTTGCAGAAAGTTCTATAGGTTTATTTGCTTGTTCATTTTGAATAGTTTCACAAACGATATTGTTATTAAATTCGACTATATGACTAGTTTTTGAAGTGACATTGCTCTCAGATGTAACACTATAATTATTCCCATTTTTCGAGATATTTAGATCTTTTAAAGAATTTGACTGCACCTTCCTAAATTCCTCGTTATCAGAATTTTTGGTATTAGGAAACGTTTTTACTTTAGAATAATTACTAGTATCATCCGCTATTTTACTTTCAAAATTCATTTTTTATTCTAAAGATCTTCTTTTTGTTTATCCAAACTGTCAGCAATTATTTCTTCAAAATTCGCAATTTGCAGTTACATCGAATACTTAACTAAGGTTTCCTAAAAATAATATAAAATTCATACAATAAATAATAAATTTTTGTTACATATTGTCATATACACAAATTAAAATATTAATGAGTAAATTACAAAAAGTCTGGAAAAATGATGCTTGTCTGTCTAAAATTATTAATTTAAACCTTTTGTTTTTAATTAGAAAAATATATTAATAATGAAAGATATATACTTAGCACAGTTTTCTTATTCTTTTAATTATACAAATAAGTACAAATAAGTTAGGTATATAAAATGCAAAACTAATTTATTTCAACGAGCTCAATAAATTGAGATCTCTTATTGAAAAATTTACTTCGCTACTTTGACATTTCAGGAAGACAACAAAACATTCTTATTATCATAACTTTACAAAGTCAAAATTGAATTTAACATAAATAACTGTTTATTCTGTCGGGTTTATTTCTTGAGACTTTTATCGTCTTTGATGTTTCAAAAAGATAAAACATTTTTATTATTATAACTTCAAAAAAACAAAACTGAAGATATTTGAAGATGAATTAAATGTGATGCTACAAATGCTTTGAAGCACTCTTCGATTAGACAATTAGCAAAATTCTAATAGAGATGGGATGTAGGATTAGGTGAAGAACATCTGGATGATTCTCATTGACAAGACATTTCATCTCAGGACTTTCCTTGTATAGCCGCATTCCATTTTTATAAAAGCATAAAGGCCATCACACGTACAAAAATTTTAGTCGTAATCATAAGGTCGCAAGCAAATCAACCAATCACAATCAAAATTACGATCTCGCGTTTCAAAACTCTCGACTATGATTGGCTGATTTGCTTACAGCCTTACGATTACAACTAAAATTTTTTTACGTGTGATGGCCTTAACTTACAACTCCTCTCTTGTGTCAGATTCGATACGGGAGTTAAATAGAAGGAATGGTCGATGATAGCCAATTGCTGCGTTAAACAGAAAAAGCGGCTTTGCAACTCTTGTAAAATTCTTTAAGATGATTGGTTTTGCCCTTAGTTCCTCACTGGATCTATAAGGCCGGTATTCATAGTCGGTTCTTATTTCAAAACCATCTTAAGTAATGTCTTAATACGCTAATACGGCTTTCTGATTGGTTCATGACACCTCAAGGCTGAACTTAAAACGATCTTGAATATAAGAACTGACTATGAATACCGGCCTAAATGTATAAACCAATCATATTCAAGAATTTTACAACAGTTGCAAAACTGGTTTTTTTTTTAACGCAGCCAATGGGTGCATCCAGAAGCACGATCGTTCACTGAGCGATTATGTTTCTGGATGTACTCAATCATAAAGGAATTGCAAAATTGTTGTGTTCTGTTGAAAGTAGCCAATGACGTGATTTCTTCGATTTTCAAATCGAACTCATTGTTATCCGCTACGTCAAAAGTAGGCGCGAAAACAAAATACGTGATATAGAACTATAAATTTTTATATTCTATAACTCATGAACCAATTAGAAAGCCGTATTAACATCAAAAGACATTATTTAAGATGATCTTAAAATAAGAACTGACTATAAATACCGGCCTTAATGCCTATTGCACATTGGATACGATAGAGATCAGCGACAAAGGAATTTTAGCTCCTATTGTTTTGATTGGTCAAATTTCAATCTTTCAATCTTCAATCTCAATATTCAATGCGTAGTTTGATTCCGGCCTTAGTAATTTGACCATTTTTGTAATTTTCAAGATGCAGATTGAGAGCCACTTCGACCAACTCCGATTAACTTTAACGATTAGTCCATTGGAATTGACCAATCGCATTTGTCAACGACAGATTCCACGGACTAACCGTCGATTAAAGTTAATCGGAGTTGGTCGAAGTGGTCTTGAGACTGGATTGGAGTTTAATCAAAGGAAAGGAAATCAATAATATTAATTTTAGTAAACTTTGCTTCATGGAATTGATCAAATTCCAATGCAATCTCAATCTCCTGGGCTTTCTACAATATACGCATCATGTACGAAACAGAAACGCACCTTAGAACATGCGCATTGCGCAATAAAGCAAATATACATACCAGCAGCTGTTAACAAATTTTTTTGTGATAAGGGGTATCATATTAGATCCCTCATGAAATAGGACTAGAAAATAAAAAAATAACAATAAGAAATTTGTCAATAAAAATGAAAAAAGTAAGGAAGAGTAAAAAAATTGATTTTATTTATTAGTAATAATGAGAGTATATTATATGAACGTTTGAATCTATATAGATTCGTATCTCGTATTATAAATTTAATTAAATTTAAAATTAAATTTAAAAAATGTTTAAAATTTTATAAATAAAATGTCTATAGCTTTATCTTATTTATTTGGTAGAATTCTGTTTTATTTATGAAATAAGTACTCTATACTTTAATACGTCAACTGAAAATAATAATTCTTATATTTCCTTTTTAGCAAAATATGTAGAAATTCATAATACGATATAAGTATGCGTAATACTGTATAATATTATAGATTATACATATATATATTAATATAGCATTTAATATATTCTAAATATGCGCATTTATCGTTAAAAGTAATGTGAATACGAACTCTATATAAATTTATATAGGTCCCAAGAATCATTAGAATGTCACGTGGTCGATGACGTAATTACGCATGCGTATAACGCTCCTCCGAGAGATTCGTATCCCTCCGGAGGCTCCGATACTCCGATTTTCCAACACTGCGCCGCCGCCGTAGTCGCTCCGAGTGGCTCATTCCAAGCTTCGTGAGCTTCGAGTTAACTGCAGCGTTGTGTACGTCCGTTCGGTCGGATTCCCCACTCGAGCCATTTCGAGGAACTCTATCACCAACCGATAAACCGTTATCACAGTTGACGCGAGTCGGAACATCAATTCGCATCGCATCCTCTCGTCAGCGTCCGCAGTGTGAGAAAAACTACGAAAATGACGGTAATCACGAAAGCGATCACCGAGAAGAAGGCGTCTGACAAAATGGAGCAGCCATTGTTTGTGGAGGAAAACGCGGCGGTTAGTATATATGTACATACACACCTCGCTCGCAATGCCCGATCGCGTCACTCGGATCGTTAATTTCCTTCGACACCTCAGGACCCCGTCGTGATCGGAAAGCATCGTTATTTTTATAATTGACCGCGTTAGGGTCGCGTTATGCGCAGCAAAGCCACTTAACGCAACCCTTGGCACACACACGTACATGTATATGTATCACGTATATCTGGTAATAATTCTTGTCGAATATATACATATGTATGTATTCTACAAATTGTCAATTTATATACCAAAGTATATTATATCTATATATACTTGTTTCTATGCTATCAGTAACGAATTCGATAGTGTTGACATGTATTGTACACACACATGCCAGTGTGTGTGTGTGTGTGTGTCCACCAACGATAGAGCCAGATCAAGTAAATTAATGAACAAAATATACTGTTATATATTGTAACATGACAGATGCAGTACATATCTCAATAAAGATGATATGACATATTAAATGACAAGGAAATGAAGCATCTATAAGAAGGGATTATAAAAAAATGAAACATCCTCTTTAGCTTTTATTGATTTTAAACATTTGATTGTTTTTCATCATATATCTTGTCAAGTAGTAGGAAATGGAGTCTTAAAGTTAATCCTTAAAATTATTAAATTTTTGTTCAACATTTTTTACATGTAGTTTTTACAAGTTAAATTGAATTTTGAGGATTAATCAAGTAATTATATGTTATTCAAATAATTACTTGCTTATAATACTTTTGAGGCTTTTACGGGTATTTTTTTCAGAGATGCCAAAGACAGATTAAATACAGGTATTCTTCTTTAATAGGATGGTACAAAAGCTGATCCTGAAGCAGCACGTCCAAGAACAGATACGATCCCCAGAAGCCGTTGTTTCATATCTACAGCAAACATCCACCGTATACATATAGCGACGACATTTTTGCTCTTTCTTCTTGCATTATCCATACTGCTTATTGGCATGATCGGTGGGCTATACATCTACAAACAGTATGCGAGGACTCAGATGCGCAGATTCAGTACTGGCTGGTACAGCATTCCATATGATAGCTCGAACAAAGCATCCTATGGCAATAATGCAGTTCATCAGGGACTTTTGGCTGATTCCGATCTGTTTACCAAGAGTCTCACCAGAGCCATGGAGCAGGATGCTCTAGATATTGCAAGACACATAGATCATGATATCAATAATTTCTTCAAGGAGAGATTTGAGATTGATCTTGAAAATGAGCATTACGAGAAGATTGATGTGCCTGATTTCCGTGGTGGACGACAAGGTCGTTTCATACATGATTTCAACATTGTGAGTCAATGATCAATATTCATAATCGGTTTTTATTTTTAAGTATGTTAAATATAGTCTTAAGATGTCATAAATCAATTACAGAGCGTCTTAAAATATTATTTAAGATGGTTTTAAAATAAAAAAACTACTATGAATATATATATATATATATATATGTATACCTATCGTATTCCTGTGTCATAATAAACCGATTTTTTTGTATCGCACAGGACATATTTCTTACGATATCATGTTTATTTACAGAATAAGACAGGTATTATAGATATTGACGGTCAGTGTTGCTTTGTCATGCCACTGAATCGTCAGCGCGTATTGCCACCTCGTAATATGTATGATCTCCTTAGAAAAATGTACAATGGTAAGTCTGTGATTCAATTTGAATTTATGAATTATAATTATAATTTTTTTATTATTAAATTGTGATGCATTTGCAATTTTTATATATCAGGTTATTATGAAGTAAACACTGCAGTCGTACGAGAAACTATGAGAGTAGTCACACCGCCAATTACCGATATGTCGATCGTTGGAACATATATAGCGCGTGAATGCCAAGACCTGCCTACTTATATGCTGCAGAAAGTGAATTCTTCTAGTAGTTAGTTATCAAATTTCAAATTGTATACATACAACCCTGGTGAAAATTTTTTTAAGAATTTTTCATATATAATTTTTCAGGATTTTTTGTAAATTCCAGAATTTTTTCGAATTTCTAAATAATTTTACAATTTCTAAAAAATTTCTGAAATTTTTTATTGTATACGTATTCTGATAAAATTTTATAAAATCTAAAAGTTTAAGATATTTTTTCTGAAAGGTGTTCTAATTTGTATAAAAATGTTAAGAGAAATTTCTTCCAGGGAAGATAAAATCTCTCATAATATATTATTGTGTTTTCAAACATTTCAGTTGTAAAACGCAGCGCATCACAGAGTGGAGTATTCGGACAGTTTGCCGGCAATAATATTATGGAAGTCGATATCGTCAATTTAGAAGACTTCGAATGAAACTAAGAAATCGAGGAGAAATCGTGGGAATTTTCAATTATTCTAGAATATTAAAACCACCAGTAGATCAATGTATAAAAATTATAAGCTGTCCAGAGCAAGCTTAGGTAAATATTCCGTCGAATTTAGAATTATTACTTTGTATTTTATTTGTGCATCAATTAATTTCTCATCCTCTCATTTTTCTAAACTCAAACGTATACTTCTATATTTATCGAGATCTTCTTGTGAGTCTTTCCATTTCTATTAGTTATTCCATTTTTTATTAGTTTTAAATGATAACTTTACGTCTGTTTTTTCAGTTAAACTTCTTGCGGTTCACCTTTTCTCTCCACGTTGCAGAAAAAAAAAGAAAAGATGAACTGTACAAGAAGTTCAGCTAAAAAGAACAGGGCTATTATATAATGCTAGTACACGATGTGTTATTATCGATTTGAAGTATATAATACATCATGAGACACTCCTTTATATCATAAGAGGCTAAATGTGAACGACTGAATCACTATTAAAAAAATGCAAGAAGTTTTAGCAGGATGGTATATTGTCTGCTGGATCTTATAGGAAAATTAATATTTCTTCCATATTCTTGTGGTATGATAATCAATTTAAACAGATAGCAAGTGCAGTGTTATGCCATAGTAGTAAAACGTTTATTATTATGGATTTCGGCACATAGCTTGTTGACTATATTTATGAATGTCTGCGAAAAAAGCGATAAAACCAGTAGAATAGCCGTGCACTAAGTGGTTGCGCTTACGATGCAGTTTTACGATACGTTATCATTAGTAAAACTATAGATATATTCATTTGTGAATTCTATTTAGAAAATCTATCGCTCGCGTTATGAATAATGCTTGTGTAAACACAGTAAGCTCGAGGTATAAAAACACGAATTATTAATATTGCAAAATTGAAAATAATTTTTAAAATTAATATGTTTCGAGAAATATTGGGTTTGCAATTGTGATTAATATGTAAAATAGGTTAAACATTTATAAGATTACTGCAACTATATAAATATTTTTACAATTTCAATTGAGGAAAAAAACAGAAGTTACACACAAAGTACCGGTTCAAGAGAAAAAGTCTTGATGTATTTGAACATTCCATTTAAGACATGCGTATCTCTTTTGCATTTCTAATCGTGTTACATACTTCAATAAGTATTAGTAATACAGTATCGTATTTTGAATACGTTTTATGTATACCAGTTCATTGTCAATTTTATCATGAAAATTGAAACTGAGAACCAGAACTGGAATAAATAAGAATCGTGACTGAATGCAATTTTGCCATTAGTTTATTTTCGTGCATTGTCACGCACGTACAAAGAGAAATTATTTTTAGTTTTTTTAAACATTTTCTTATATATTCGCGCGTACAACATTTAGTGTCGGCAAATGTATCCAGGTACTCGGATATTCATTAGTCTTAGATAACATCGTGTGCTATAAATATTCTAATATTAACACTTTTGTGAAGTGACTTTTTTTAAGGTTTTTCAATTCAGGATACTTTGTAATGAAAATACTATGCAAATAGAAAATGATCTAAGATTTTAGTAGCATCAGAAAGAAAAAAAAATTTTAGAATCTGTTTCGTATGATGGATAGTTATGATAATTATTTACCAAAATTAAGAAAGCGAAGATATATTTATTGCAAAATGATTTTATATAAATTATTGAGAAGTAGATATTAAATGTAATATGTAATTAAAAATATTGTGTATTTCGTTTCGAATATCAGGTTAGCAGAATTGTTTTCTTTAAACTTATATTAAAAGAACTTATTCGTTTTGTAAACAAATCAACCGAAATAAAGGGAATATGTATGTATTAGTGTATGCACAGATCATGTTATGGACCGAGTGCCTGAACACTTATAATAATTCTGTATTAGTTATGTACTGTTACTTGTATTATCAACTCCAATAAACAAACACGCAAATATATAAGTATGCGGTGCGTACATAAACACCGTTTTAAATGTCCGTAGATACGTAGATTAAACACTGGTGGCAATAAATAGTGTATTAGTTAGTTCCACCATTTTCCGAGTGGGGATGGAAATGCAGAATATCTTGTTAATATCAATTAGCCTCTGTTTAATTCCACGATGATGCGTAATTTTGTCTACGCATTTAAACTTTATTATAGAATTGTTACACGATTCTTTGTCACGTTTCGTGTGATAGTATTTAAGTTCCTATAGTCACTATTTCTATCTCCATAAGTTGACAAGTTTCCTTAGCTTTATGATGTTATAAAAAACCAAATTTATAAAATTGTACGCGAATAATTGTAAAGTCTGACAAGAAAATAAATGATACATATAAATGTCAGTATCAGTGCGTATCGAATATCTGAATTACTGATTTTTTAATCAAAGTTTTATTAAAGCCAAGATGTACAAAAGGATTTTATTATCTTAATTTTTAAGACTTATTACTAAAATTTTTTATTTAAATATTTAAATTATTCAAATTATTAATATATATTGAAATATAATATATATATCCTACAATATATATATATAATCGAATAAGCGTAACTTCGCGAAAAATTATAAATATTTAAAAGTTTTTTTTTTCATTTTCATGAGTAAAATCTGTATTTTACGAAGCTTTCAATGGATTTTGAATTTACCTTTACGTCTACCTGGTATCTTTTAATAAATAAGGACGTGTTTTCTTTTTAAGAAATTTGCACAGAAATTTGACGCACTCTACAGGGTAGAGTAAATTTTTTTCGTAAATATCATGATAACCATTGTACAATGTAGACTTTTCTCTTACAAAAAAAATTTCTCTTAAAAAAAAATTAAGCTTTGTACGATTTTTTTTCGAGGAGGTACAGTGTATCAAACTTACCTATGCATTTTATTCTATTATCGCCAGCATTAGCATTACTTAATGCGCACCATGGGAAGGTTGCTGACTCAGGCCATGTTCGTATATTATTGCCAGTTGACTGCCAGTACTGAAAGTCTATGGTTCCCGTTACTATACTGTACTAACAACTGGCAGTAATATACGAACACGGCTCCAATTTTGCGCGCGTGTGTGTGTGGGGGGAGATATGTGGAGATGTATTTGCTCTTTAAAATTGTGTATTTCCGCCTCGTTTTCGGATGATCTCTTGTAAACATCCATGCATATTGATGCAAACTCTAATTGAAGTCTGAGGAATTTCCCATCATATTCGACGCAATGCTGCTTCCAGTTGCTGCAGATTTATTGGCTGTTCCTCTAATTTTCGTAGTTTTCTTTTCATCATATCCCATTCATCCCTGTAAACGAGAATGGATTAAAATGGATTGAAATTTTTTTCTATCCGAATGCGTATTTTAAATAGCGAATACTTTTTTTGGATTTTTTTAATTGGATTCAATTGGATTCTATTAGATTCAATTGGATGCAATTGGATTGAAAAAACTGCATTTTCTATTCAAAATTTTGAATTGAACAGTATTCACAATGCATAGAATATATATGGGATATGATGGGAAGAAGACTATGAAGATTAGAGGAACCGTCAACAAATCTGCAGCAACTGGAAGCGGTATTGCATCGAATATGGTGAGAAATTACGCAGGCTTCTACTAGAGCATGCATCAATATGCATGCATGTTTACAAGAGCTCATCCGAAGACGAAGCGGAAATATACAATTTTGAAGAGCAAATATACTTTCACCCTCCTCACACACACACACACACACACGCGCGCGCGCAATATCAGATCAGCAATCTCCCCGTAGTTCGCATCGGGTAATGCTAATGCTGGCGGTAATTGAATAAAATTCATAAGCAAGTTTGATACACTATTTCCTTGAAAAAAAATCGTACAAAATTTAATTTTTTTTTTAATTTATAAGAGAAAAGTCCATACTTTACAATGATTATCATGACATTTACGAAAAAAATTTACTTCACCCCGTAGAGTGCATCAAATTATGCAAATTTCTTAAAAAAAAAATATTATTTTTGAAAAGATGCCAGATAGGGGATAAGGATAGATTCAAAATCCATTGAAAGCCTCGTAAAGTATAAACTTTATCCTTTAAAATGAAAAAAAAAAAAACTTTTAAATGCGACCATTTTTCGCGGACCATTTTATCTATGCGATAATTTTGTTAACGAGTGTATATATATTTTTTATATTTTTTGCATGCAAGATATATTTTCATATGTATTAAAAAATGCTAGCCTAAATTTTTATTTAAATCTTAGATTACGTAATATTTGTATGTGTCAAGTCAGCTATAGCTTTCTGTCTAAGAGTGTAGAGTTTTTTCACCCATTTGTCGAATCTTGCTTCTTGATCCATCATAATCTGAGAAGAAAGAACAAATGTTATCTATGTACGAGTACATCAGGAAATACAAAGACAACTAAAACTTACTGATGTATGAAATATGCTTTCTGGGCCACTGGCAACGTTAGATACTAGTGGAACTTGTATGGTATCTGAACTAATGTCTATTACGATATTTTTAAATTTACTCTCCTTGGTAGCAGACGAAGTGAACTGCTTAGGAGTGAAACCTTCAGCGTTTATTTCTTCGAGTACACTATCTTTGAAACGTGGTTCAATAGGAAAATCATCTGAAAAGCAATATACAATTTGCATCTCTTGGTATAAAATATCATTAAAATATTTAAACGTAATATTCATAAAAGCTAACATGTTTCTACCTTTTGTCGTTAAGACTTGGCTTTTCTCTGTATTAACCTTTGGTTGATTCGATTGTGAACTGCTGGAAGGACTTCGTGACTTTTCTCTAGATGTAGATCTAGCTTTTCTTCTTGTACGGTCCGAAGAATATGATCTACCTGTGCTAGAACGGTAACGTCTTTTATCTCTGTCTCTCGAATGACTGCTCCTGGATCCTTTATGGTTCTTTGAATTCCGATCTCTTCCTCTACTTCTTGAGTGCGATCGATGTTTACGCTTTGTTTTAGAATGTTTTGAGGCTCGCCTTCGATGTGGTGAGGATTCACTGCTATCCGAGCTGCTAGATCTGTAAAAATTATTGTAATATCAAGACTTATTTTCATGAATAATAATATTGTCAATAAAATCCATTTCTATACCAATGTAAATTTACTTTTATCTTACTTTAATTTAAACACATTCTAGTAGAAATATAATGTTAATATTTAATTAATAAATAAAACATAAATTAAAATTAAATTTAATAACAGTGATACAAATTGAAAATTGTAACTCCTAACCTTTAAATTAATAATAAAATCAGATATTACTCTCGTGTTTTACCTTGACTTTCGATTTCGCTTCCTTCGATATCTGCTACTGTGGTCCGAGTCCGAGTCACTGGAATACCTCGCCATGTTTGTTAAAACAGCGTTTCTGTTTATGTCCAAAAATCTAATAACGATCTGAACGGAGCACAGCGTACAGCCACCAGACTGACCAGAGCCATTGGCCGGAAATGCACTGCAATGCACTGATATGGTGCGTTCGGGGAGACGCTAATAGCGCTATTTCTGTCATTCTATCTTCGTTGTTTATTAAACATAAAACAAGGATAAAATGACACAAATAGCGCTAATAGCGTCTTCCTGAACGCACCTATAGTACTGAAAATCTATAGCAAACGTGACGTAAACTATATATTTTCAATATCGTGTCACTTGACATTTCGGAACATACTAACGAAGGGTATTTCTGGCACGGTATCTGAGAGTAAGCAGTATCGATCAATAATACGGTACAGAACAACAGAACTGGAATTTGTGAATGAACTTCGCGAGGTTTGTGTATCCGGGTGTTCCGGGTTTCCGCACTCCCCGCCTCGCGGAGATCACGGACGTGAATCCGCCAACAAACGGGGTATTCAGGATGGTGTATTCGATGATGATCAACGACAAGATACCACTTGCTATGTACAAATCCCTGAAAACCGGCCTGACAATTTGTATCGCGGACGTAAGTGATCCGATTGTCAGCTGCCACTTCGCTATCGGTAATTTTTGAACATACGTGTTAATAGAGGATAATATTACATATATGGAGTTCTCCCCTTCACTTTGACTCCTAGGTAGCTAAGTCTGTCGAGAATAGATTCTGCTCGACAATAGACTACAAAATATTTGCTACATGTACATACAATGCCATTGATAGAGTGCTGGCAGAAGTATAGCAAAGTTTGTCAAAATTGGCACAGTGTCATCAGTAAGCTTGCGTTCTAATGGCAGAACTATGTTGACATAACATGACAGATTGGGTGTGTAAAGTTAGCACCCTTATGCTTTGAAATTGTAATTCTAAAAAAATCTTTCAGAATAATTTAACTCTAGATGTCTGTCTCTTCTTAACAGATCAAACAAAAAGTTAATTCCTATTCATTTCAATAATAAAAAGATTATTGAAATAAAAGTTAGGAGACATCAAAGTATTTTTAATCATCTTTATATTTATACCAATTCTTTTTTTCAGCTACCGAAGTGTTCACAGACGATGGTCTTCCCGAAGCAGTGTCACATCTTGTATTGATGGGTAGCGAAGACTATCCTTATAAGAATCTTTTGACCCGCTGCTCTCACAAATGTTACTCACTTGACACCGAGATTCATACGTTTCAAGATTACACTTGTTACAATATGAGAACAAGTGAGACAGAAGGATTTTTCTCCCTACTGCCTGTATATCTTGATCATATTCTTTATCCTACACTTTCGGTAAAAAAAATTTTAATATTTTTATAAGTTGCCTTTGTTATCTAACATAATACAATATACTACAAAATATTCTGTTTTTGTAAAACATTTTATTTATAATTTAATAGATAAAAGAGATGTGAGTTATTCTATATATTCATTACATTCTGAATATTCTGATAAGTTATTAACATATCTAGTATTAATATATGGATAGATATAGTGCCAAAAAATTATATGAAGAAATGTTTAAAATTTTTGTTTTTAACTTTTGTTTAAAACTTTTATGTTTCAATAGGAAGCAGCATATATTATAAACGTACATCATATTACTAAATATGGAGACAACGGAGGTACATTTTATTTTGACACCAGGACTAAAGAATTAGATGGAGAATATGTAACTTACACTGAATTAATGAAAGCGATGTATCCCGAAAATTGTGGATATAGCTCAATTGTTCAAGGTATAAAAAACGTTTAATCCTCTTGTAAATACACGAATTTCCCCATTTTGTTCAATATCCGGGGTACCCGAGTACCCACTATGCAAAATCGCTAGTTACGGCAGTGTAGAGCTACCTGCGTTCTCCCCCCTCTCCCCCCCGGATACCCAACAGCTGTAAGCTGGCGAGTGGACAGGGATTTTCTCCTTCTAATGTTTTCTACATAGAATTCCCCTCAGGCGTCCTAACGGCTGACAGACGAATTCTGTAGGGTGGTTTCAACTTTCAGTCTCCAATGGTCTCCAATGAGATTCAAAATGAAATCTCGATGTGCAAAGTTTAGTATTTGATGTTTATTTTTTTGAGACTCTTGCCATTTTTCATCTATTATTTATCAGTGAAAAAATGGAGGAATTATCAGCAAGTGAATTTGCAAGGTGAGCCATTTTAATGATCTATTTCTATATAGTGATGCATTTTGATACCAGAATCTTGAAATTTCATCTCGAAATTTCTCATTTCGAGATAATATTTCCGAGATAATTATCTATCTATATTTATTTATAATTAATTATTTCAAAATGAGGAAATAGATAACCAATAGGTCCAAATAATTAAAATTAAAATAGATAAACAATAAAAAGGCTACGGGCCAAGCTGGATGTTCGTTGCTAATTAATTAAATTTAATCTAAAATAATAATAACACAAACAGTTTTGACCTGTTATCATTCTTAATGTGACAGATAATTACAAAATAATTCGTTCAAAATCTTTTTTTGCTCTTCTACTGTTTATCTTTTAATTTTAATTTTCAATTTATTTCAAAGACATTTTTAGAATATGTATGATTTTTGTATAACATTATTATTGTATAACATTATAAAAATTTCAGTTTGACGGCCGAAGAAAAGCGTAGTTATTTGACAGAACAATTAGGTGAGGAGTCTGATTCTGCCGAAAATAATTACGTATCGGATAGCGACGATGAAGAGTGGTTTCCGGTGTCAAATAAGCAAGCAATGAGCTCCGAAATGTCCGATTACGAGGAAACAGAGGAAGATCAGAAGAATCAATTGAAAATCAAAGACGAACTTATAATAAAGTCCGAAAATGAGAGTGATGAAGAAACGAATACAGTGAATGAAGCGATACCTGTTCATCAATCACTCAAATTAACCGCAAATTTTGTTGCCAAAGACAAAACCATCTGGACTCGGACACCTACAGTTCAACGTTCGTTTCGGAATATTCTTCGACATAGAAGTGGTCCTCATAAGAACACAGAAACTTTATCAATCGTCGACACGTTCAAAGTAATTTTCACCAGCGAAATGGTGAACATTATCGTGCATCACACGAATAGGAAGGCATCTCAAGTATATCGAGCGTACAACGAAGCGAATCCGACGAAAAAACAGCTATCATGGAAAGACATAACGAATCGAGAATTTTACGGATTTTTGGGGATTTTGATCAGCTCCGGAATAAATAATTCAAATTATGACTATACAATTGACATGTGGCGGTCCTCTTCGTATCCTCTGTACCGAGCGACGATGGGCATCAATAGATTCTGGAATATCCTACGATTCATCCGTTTCGATGATGCAAACACTCGAAGAGCTCGCATTGAAGAGGATAAAGTTGCTCCGATACGCGATATTTGGACGATGCTCAATTCCAATTTAGTAGAAATGTACAGGCCAACAGACTGCCTAACAATTTACGAGCAGCTTTTTCCGTATTGCGGTAGAACAGGATTTACGCAATATATTCCAGCGAAACCGGCAAAATGCGGGATAAAAGTATGGTGGATGTGCGATGCTGAAAATTTGTATCCACTGCAGGGACACATTTGTACGGAAAACCCTGCGCAGGGTTGCGAAGTGAATCAAAGCGAGCGAGCCATAAAAGAGTTGGCTCTTCCGTATAAAGATTCGGGTAGAAATATTACGATGGATGATTGTTTTACGTCGCTACCTTTGGCAAAATTTCTGATGTCCTGGAACTTGACAATCGTTGGAACGTTGAAAAGCAACAAAAAATATATTCCAACAGAAATGGCGGCTTCGGAATCTCATGAGATGTACTCGTCTCTTTTTGGTTTTCACGAAAATGTTACGATCTGCTCATACGTCCCGGAACAAAACAAGGTGATGCTACTTTTATCCACAATGCATGCAAACACGAACGTAAGCGCGACTCAAAAAAAGAAACCTGAAATAATTCAATACTATAATAAAACAAAAATCGGCGACGACACGATGGATCAGATGCTCCAAAGATATACGACGAAGAGACAAACTCAAAGATGGTCTCTTGCGTTTTTTTATAACATCGTGGATGTTGCGAGTCTCGCAGCGTACATTCTATACTACGAAAATAACAAAATGATAAACAAAAAGGCGAATGAACGCCGGTATTTCTTGCGTCAACTCAGTGAAGAATTATGCATGCCTTCAATTGAAGATCGATCGGAAAATCCTCAAATAATGAGACATTTCTCGATAAAGAATGCTGTTGAAAGCATATTTGGTAGACCAGTAAACAATGTTACCAGTACTTTAGTGTTACCTAATACTTTAATGTCGTCTGTGCAAAAATACGATTTAACAGGGCGAAAAATTGTTGTGGGCTCGTGCTATATTTGCAATAAAGGCGCGTTCAAAAAGCGTCGAAAAACACGAAAAGCATGTGATAAATGTAGAAAACCCGTATGTAATGAACACACGGTAACGACAACGCACTGTATTGAGTGTACTGCATGTGTTGAATAAAAACTTGAAATTTTTTTATTTTTTAATTGTTTATGTATTTATTTAATGTTCATTATTGACATTTTTTTATTATTTCCTACATTCACGAAGTATTTCGATGACGTGAATAGCAAAAACGGAAAGAAAATTTGTGTGGAGAATGCTTGTGTATATAAGCTCGGTATCGAATAACGGATATCCCAGGTATTGAACAAACGTGTTGTCAACTTTGACCTCCGATAACAAGCATAATTTTTATAAAAAATTGTAGCTCAAAGCGTAAATCGATGTAAAATAATCCTAATAACGAGGATTTGGATAATGGGCTAAAATTAGTAGTTTGCTGAGAAATTAAAAATTTTTTATGAGAACATATAAAAATGAGTACTCGGGTATTGACAAGAGGGTTTCGAATCATAATTCTACTCTAATTAAGAATCGTCTACAATGGAAGTAGTAAGTTGTAAGACGTAAGAAATTGATCGCTCAAATGTGAGGAGAATAATCGACTATAATTTGTCAATTAATTTTTACAGTTTACAGCTTATTACTTTCATTGCAATGGGTTTGTAAGTATTATTTATTATTGTATACTTGTAGGTACATCGAATTACATATCGGAATATCTTGTTCTCGAAGATATTAGACAGTATCACGAAGAATATTATAGACCAGAAAACTTAACTGTGTTAATAGTAGGTCAAGTAGACCATACTAAAGTTTTAGACACGTTACTACCTTTAGAAGAGAAAATAATATCAAAAGTAAGTTAAAAAATTTTTATTTTAATTTAAATATTATAATTAGGATTAAATTATTAATTTTAGAAATTAGAGAAATAAACATCTAAAGAATAAACGAAAAAAACTTATGAATTATTACTTTATTAAAAATTATATTGTATATTAATATTAAATTAGAAATATGTAATTATATATATACTACTGATTGAATATAATATATTACTTTGACATTGTAATCTTTATTTTGTGTTTGCGATCTTGAGTCTTAAAATTGTAGGGAGACACACACAGAGGTGAATTTAAAAGACCCTGGCAGACTCCAATTAAACCGCTTACAAAAAGCATAGATGTGGAATTCCAATATCCGTGCTACTCGTGTACTGGGGCTTATATTCGTATAGCCTGGCAAGGACCGTCCATTAACAAATTGTATGAATATTTCGGCTTTTGCTTAATCTCGCAATATTTGACTGACACAACCGAAGGTGTATTGCAGAAAGAATTTGCCAAGGAACAGATCTCTTATGAATATTACTTCCATGAATTCTCGACTTCAGCTTTAAGTTTAATGTTCCCGAATGTGCCGGGTAGTAAAGTTCCTCTAGTCAAGGAGTCTGTGATGAAAGTACTTAAACATACAACTGACGTTGGTATACATTTAAAAAGAATGAAGATTATAATTCGCAGATATATTATTAAAATTTTAAATGACCTGGAAAATAATCCGCATAATACAATCGCAAATGGACTGTTTAAACATATGTTATATGGAAAAGCACTCAAAGAAGTATGTTACACGCATAATTTATTTGTAAATTGCGTTTTATCAGAAATATTGATTGCATCATTTTCATTAACAGCTGAATCATAGGTTGAACATTATACATTATCTTAAAATATTAGAAAATGAATCTAAAAGTTACTGGTACAACCTTTACAAAAAATATTTTGTTGAGACTCCAATGGTTGTTGTGAAAGGCACACCCAGCCGTGAAATGTTAAAGATATTTTCGGGAGAGGAGAGAAAAAGAAAAATCGATCGGATGCGCGAATTCGGCATGCTTGGGTTAGCGAGAAACGATATACTTCTTTCCCAAGCCATAAGCGAAAATGTATGTGAATGTTTTAATTAAAAATAAGATAGATATTTGTGTAATTAAAGTATTTTATATCCAAAGTTTACCACTGGCAATCCTCTTGTTATTGATGATATTTTTTTTCTTAAGTCACATATACCCGACGAAGTGTTAGAAAGTATACCTGTACCTGATATAGATTCCATTGTCTTCCGTCACATTGAAAATTACAGTACGGATACTTCAGAGCAGCATCCTGAATTAGATGTCAAATTATTACCATTATTTACTTATCTAGAGAATGCCGATACAATCTTCATTTATGTGAGTATCTTGTTCTCTTATTGTATAATTTTATTGAAAATTAATTCATAGAAATATTTTTTTTCTATTTACAGAGATATTAGGATATTATATATTCATATTAAGCGTACATCGATTATCAAATACGATATAATTAATTGTAGTCTTTATTTAAATCTAGATATTTGTCATCATGGATACTACTTCCATTAGTAATGTATATAAAAAATATATTCCACTATTGCTAGAACTCATTATGGAATCTCCGGTGAAAAGAGATAATCAATTGATTCCTTATGAGGAAGTAATAGACGAATTAAAAGCAGATACTGCACTAGCTACTACTCGAATTAGTCTTCAAAAGCCTATGGCATTCTCATATAAATCTTCTAGTGTTTATTTGATGCTTCAAGTATGTATCCATTATGTGTGTAACAAATAATTTATTATAATTTCATCTTTTATAAGAGAATTAGAACTATTTGAAACAATTTGTAATTGTTATATATCTTTGTTAATATAGTTTGAATACGAAAAGTATGAAAAAGGTGTAAAATGGATTAAAGAGTTTTTATATGACACTGTGTTAACAGTCGACAGATTAAAAGAAGTAGCAACAAAAAAACTAAATGATATTGCTCAATTGAAGACAGAAGGAGAAAGAGTTGTGGATGATTTAATGAAAATGACGCTGTACAATGAAGGTAAAATCTCATTTCTAAAAATTTTTTTAATCAATAATATCGTGGAAATAGAAACAGTATGATATACTAAATAAAAAAATATATAATATGAATTTTTAAAAATATTTATAGACAGCAATCCTTACATGTTCAGTTTATTGCAACAAGAAGAGTTTCTCACTGATATTCTGAAACGTCTGGATAATGACGTAGATCAGAAGGAAGTCATGGCAAATATCGAGTCAAGCAGAAAAATTTTGACGTTACCAGAAAATATGATTTTATATATGACTGTTAACATCATGAGATTAATACATACAGTTCCAAATGTGTATGCCCCATGGGAAACGTTCTTTTCTGATGTAACAGTTGCAGAAGGGAAGACTAACAATAAGTAAATATAGTTATCATATTTAACGAAAAAAAAGGGATAATAATTTATAGTAAAAAGCAAAGTGAATCATTAATCAGTAACGATTTTAAAAACATGTACAGTATTGAATTATAACAAAGGTTTCTTCTTTTCATGAAATATATATAATAATAAATTTAAAATATCTTTTTTTAGAGATGATCTTTCTCAACAAACAAGTTTTTTTAAACAGTAACTTATTTAATTTGTTTGTACATTTAACTGTAATACGAACTTAATTGATGCACAACTTTGCTTTAAGATAGAAATCATTGAAAATTATGCAATATATATTAATAGTAATATATTTTTAGGGTGAACATGACTAATGATTGGACACTATTGACTTCCACGAATCATGGTGCTAGATGTATCGTTGGATTGGAAAACGAAACGAATGCATTCTTCCTACAAGCTCATCCGTGCATAAATGATTATCGGAGCCCCGATCTGCCAGCTTTGCTCATTTGTTTGATGTATCTTGATCAAATGGATGTAAGCGCTATGATATTTGTCAAAAATGAAAACGCAAGTTGGTCATTTCAAACATATAAGAACTCTTATTATTATTTCAGGGACCTTTGTCGTTATTAATTCGACATTCTGAACGTGCGCGCGATTACGAATTTTTTATATCACTGCACGAAGGGCTTTTGTACTTAGCTATTAATGATGCTACAGACCTGATAGGCGCGTACACTAAAGCTAAAAAAAATACGGTACGAACAATAATAGATTATTCATATAAGAAACAAATATGTAAACATTGGATAAAACATTTAACATGTTATAATCATAAAAGAAAGTAAAAGTATATATGTATAAGAAAGAGAATCTTTTGCATCACGAATTTCTTATAGGAAAATCGTATGTCTGGGCAGTGGACCGACATCTTTTGTGAATCAGCCAAATCACTTACGATCTTCCAGCTTATGAGAATGAAGAATGCCTTAGGCAATAGAGCGAATGAATCATTAAGATGTTGTCGCGGTTTGCCGCTTGATTACTGTATTCCACTAATGCGAGATATTCCCGCTGTTACCAAGGAAGATATGAGCCGCGTAACAGTTAAATATATTACACCATTATTCGATCCGGAAGCATGTAAGACTATCATTGTTTGTCATAAATCTCAAATTTCAGCAATAAACGAGGCTTTTAAAGAGTAAGTGAAATCCTTATTTTTTTCTCTTCTCCAGTCTTAGATAACAAGTATACATAATTCTTTTTTTTTACAGAATGCATCATAGTTTTAATACATACAGCAATTTTAAAGAAGCTTATTCAATATTATCTAAAAAAAACGTAAAAACAAGTGAAGACTCATCAATAATAAAGGTATAACGAATTAATAATTAAAATCTTGGAAAATATACAAGATTGTCCAAAAATAATTTACACCTTTTTTCAATTAATTTGAGAAAGTTATGTGATATAAATTTGATGTGAAAATACATTAATAATTTCATATTTAATATTTAATATATAAATGTTTAATACCATGTAGAAACATTATATGTAAATAATATCAATATTTATTATTTTAATAACATTCCCATTCAATTTGTTTTCACGCACAGACAACGAGATATTTGAAAAATTTACATTTTTAAAGTTTAAATTTTGTTAAAAATTTCGAAAATATATATTATAAAACGATTATTTTTAATATAAAATATCCAATACATATATGTTTGTCATTCATAGTATGGATGTAAACGTTTGATGTGTACATAAATAAAAATTCTTCGGAGGAGACGCTTCGTTTTTTTCTTTTACGATTAGAAGACCAGAATGATTATTAAGAGGAAACTGCCACCGTTTCTATCTCTAATGCGGACACACCACGTTGCTTGATAGGCAGATAAACGCCTCCGTAAATTTGAAATTCGAACATTGTAATATTTGCTGTATCTAGAGGCTCACCGAACGGAATCTCAACTCCACGATAATAAGGTTTGAAGTCTTTCAAAGGTAAAGTCACCATGGTAAATATGTCGTCCGATATTAATACCTGAAGCGGAAATTTTTGTAGAATATTTACCAAAAGAGGAGTTTCCAATACAACATTTCATCAATAGAAATTTCAAACCAAAGGTTGATATATGAAATGGAATTGTTAATAGGAAATAATAACGATAAATTGAAGATAAAAGATTTTTGAGAGCTTTACCGTGAAGAATTGTTCGTAGCTGATATATATATTGGAATTCTGTCCTCGATGTCTCAGGGATATCTTATAGTGGTTATTTTGGCCTTGTCCTCGGCAAGTGATCTCAATATTTCTGAATCTTGACAGATTCAAATTTGTCAGTTTTCTGACGCCAGCGAAACCGGCACCATTTGGCTGCGGTTTCAGCAGCGTGAAGAAGACTGCTCTTTGGAAGAGCTGACTCGTTTGTAGAGTTAAGACAGCTTTGGATTTTCCTACTGTCCTTACAGTGTCAGATATCTCCCACCAATCATCCACACTTTGGATATCCGTGAAATCGAACAGCATCATTCTATCCCTAATTAAATCCAATCCATGATGCATAAACTTATGCTTCATACAGTTGGATAAATTCAATTTTTAGAAGTATTATACAATTGTGCACTCATTCCAGTCAGAAAAGCCTATTTTAAACAGTCTATAATTCGCATAAAAAATTAGATCATAATTTTATGTGTCTTTAAGGGTGACTTGGACTAAACTTCGATTATTAATTGAATTGGCGTTTAACTCAACCGACAGATATTTATTTCTATCAATATTGTTACAAGAGGAAAGATTATCTAGTATTTATCATATTTATATCGCTCATTTGCTACAACAATGACGTAATTAAAAAATCAATATTCCAAGATTTTAATCAATTATAACGATTATAATGATTTATATATTGAAATTCATATTATAGAAAATTTTGTTTTCTGAGTTGTGTCATTATAGATATATAATAATGATACAACATATATATAATATCTATAGTAGAATTGTAGAAATGGGCCTGTAATCGATTAATAAGACGAAATCTCTTATATATACAGTTCATTGTTCTTCATCTTTTTCCAATACAAATTAAACATATATAATTCTATTAATTAATTAATGGAATTTGGTCGAAGTCGCTCTTATTATAAAGAAATTAAAGCATTTGAAAAATCAAAATACATGCATTCAAATACAGATAAGATACATATAAAATTATGAATAGAATTGCATTCTGAAATCTGACATGAATTATAAATTGTCTAGGCGTGTAATAATTAGACAAGAAGTGGTACATTTTAAAGTGAATTTGCAGTTTTTGTTTGCAATGGAGGTTAATTCGCGAAGGAAGTCGTTTGTTCTCAATCATTTGTGATTTTTCTCGATATTTACGGTCATAGGATGCTTTCGCTCTCCTAGATCCGTAATCTTGTATGGCTGTTCGCATAATTAATTTTCGAGTACATCATGCGTAATAATGATGATCACACCTCACCCTCTCGCAAAATGACAAATCACGATAAAAACGGCGATCGTTCGTAAATTCATATTTCAAGTTGTATTATTTTCAACGAAGGTGACACGAGTTTATAAGACGAATATAATCAAGTCGGTCACTCTTTGGTGACACAGACAATAGGTGCTGACATTTCATTGACATACGACATAATCACGTTTGATTGCTTTTGATTACGATGCTTGAAAGTTACCAGGACTTGTATTGACTCGCATATGCCCCTCGACATATGCGATAAAAATGGCCATTACTTAACAAGGCGTTATATAATGATAAAAAACGTTTTGGTGATAAATGATAACAAACAAGTAGGTTAAAACGAAAAAAATATATATAGCTTTTAAGTATACATAATTTTATTAATATTATCTTTTATATATAAAATTATTTTTAACTTTTTGTGACTGTGAATGACCTAAATCCATTATCTTCAAAAATTGAAGGAAACCATATATAATTATCATTTCTTAAAAATTGGACTTTGATAATAAAATTCATAATTATTTATTATTAATTTTGGCAAGCCTACCTGATCAATATTTAAATGTATATCTTTTCATATAAGAATAAAAATGCAGTTTTCAATTGTAATAAAGATTTTGAAGAGATTACATTATATATCCTATTCTCCGTAATAATACGAAAAGATTATACAATTAGTTTTATATATATGATATAATATAGGTACAAGTAGAATATATTGATTAATGAAACAGATTCCAAAAATTACATTAAGGATTTTAGTAAAACTAGACAATAAAATATGTATGTGCAAAAAATTTATAATTTCTTAGAAAAGCATTCATTAACAAAAACAAAGATTGGCGTTCTCTTTGTTGAAGCACCATGTAGAAGTATTTATTCCCTGACATTTTCTCATATTTGTATATATGTACAAAATACAAAAATATAACAATGATAAGAAAGTAAATCTCTGATTTATCAAACAAATGTTCTACTGGATAATATGATAAAAAGAATGAAATTTTAATTCTAAATTTATCATTTCTTGCCTTCTAAAATATTTTAGATAATATGATTGAGAGGGTGCATAATAAAACAACCGCCCGTGAAAAGATCAATAAAATTTTGGTCAAATTTATTCAATGCGATCTTTCGTATTTTCTTACTGAATATAAATCGTGTTTACATGTCACACAACGCTGAAGAGAACGTAAATCATCGTGTTCGTTGCATGCTGTCTTTTATTTTCTTTTCTTTTTGGAGCCTCAGCCATATCAATGTTACCTTTGTACTATTAAATCATAATAAATCAGAGCTTATGTAACTCCGTTTATATGTAAGAACATACCAATTAATTTATCAATGTTGAATTAGTTTACATGTTTATATGCGCTCTCAATATAATAGATAATGTGAAAAATAATTTGCTAATATTATTCTCTAATGTAAAGCATAGAAGCATCATACATTAAGTTAGAGAGATCCGCTGAATAGATAAAAAAAATTACGAAAAAAAATGCGTGGTAATATTTCAAGCTACATTGTGTCATGTAGTTTCAAGTAACATATGACTATATTTGCTAGTTTAAATTCTACAAATAAAAAATAGATTTTCGATTGATATCACAAACGAAAGACGAATAATTCCATCTTTAATTTGTCACTAAAGACAATGTTAAATTTACATATATGTATACATATTTATGTTTCATCAAGAATAGAGGTATCTTTTAAATATTAATTAAAAAAAGTAAACTTTTGATCCCTACCTTCTCTCTCCATCTATAATTAATTTGCATGATAACTGAAATCATGAAGCTCGCTATGTGTAAATGTGCATATCTTATCAATTAAAACAGGTTTAAAAAGTGAGACTAAGAAAAATCTGACTGTTCATAATTTAGGTTAATTTTCATTGATTAAATTCTTTTAAAGCAAGAACTTGCATGTTACAACAAATGATCCTCCCATGCAGATATAAATTAGTTGAATGTAAATTCCATCACTTGTGTTCGCTGTTAAGTCGTTCCAACAAAAATTTTTAATCGAACTTATGAAAAGTTAATCGGCTTCTATATATAAGCTATTATATGTATCTTCTATAAATGAATTCTTCCTTTATCTGATTTCACAAAAAATACATGAAATATATAAAACGTCTACGTGAAAACAGTATATAAATTGCAATAATCAAAAGCCATTTTATCGACAAATTACTGACTCTCCGCGCGTCACAAAAATCAGTAGCATTACCAGAATAATTTTTATAACGTATGTCTACATTGTGTCGTGTACTTATAACATTGTATTGAATATCGTAAATTGACGCTAATAATTAAAAAAAAGAACATTTTAATTATATTTCATTCTTTTTTTTAAGTGGACTTCGCTTATCAAAGGGAGGATACAGGCTACAAGACAATCTGCCAACTACACTTAGTACAAATCATATATGCATTAATAGTACCGATCAATTAATATATCTATATACAAACAAATAATAAGACCTAACAGGAGCAGGAGTCCTTTCCTCCCTGTTGTTCATTAGATACTCCTTGGAGGCTGGTGCGACCTGGTTGACTCGGATTATGTTGTACACCAGATTCTGCTGCATTTAGGTCCAATCTATATCGATAGAAAATATAATTAATTTATCAATTAACATTATTTAGGACATTAGTTCATAATTTATATTTTACAATGTGTGATAGTTTTGTTCAACGTAACATATTTTTTATTCTATATGATTATAAATTACGATCAAACTCACCGCCCATCTTGTATACTTTGGAATATTTTTTTTGCCGTTTCCAAGAAGGCTTCCTCCACATTGTGTCCTCTGAGAAATTTGAATACACGAATCCATTTACAATCATTTGAAAATTTATATTTAAATATTTTAAGATACTAAAGATACTCACGTCTTCGCGCTAGCTTCGACAAACATTAAACCATGTTCATCAGCAAATTGTTTTGCTTCTTCGTAGGTAACATCACGTTGACCTTCGAGATCACTTTTATTACCAATTAAGAATATGACCTGTACAATAATTAGTTTATTTTTATGTTATATGATTATAAAACATATTAAAAAATTAATTTTCTTTCTCATATCATGTGCAGAGAATAAATTAGTTTAATTAAACACTTATAATTACATTGTAATATGTAATATAGAAATATACGTACAGTGCTCGGATTTGTTAAATTCCTTGTGTCTGTCAGCCAGCTACTCAGATGATTGTAAGTTGAACGACGTGTAATATCGTACACCATTAATGCTCCAGCTGCACCGCGATAATATGATCTAAGAAGAAATATTTTCTCTTTAGTACGCATTATAATTTCACATTTGTTATATAGGTACAATTATCGTTTGAAAAATAACCATCAGTACCTAGTAACTGCTCTGAATCGTTCTTGTCCAGCAGTGTCCCATATCTGCAATTTTATCTTCTGTCCTGCTACTTCTATAATCCTAGTCCCAAATTCGACGCCAATGGTATGTGGACAATCTGCCATGACTAAATTTACAAAATCATTTATATAAAAATATATATTCTTTAACTTTTTTGTATAAATACAAGATATAACACATTGAGGAATAGTTTACAATTTTATTTTTTTAAATAAATTAAAAAAAATAGTATTTTAAAAGAAAATAGAATTAAAAAATAGCATTAGATTGTGTATAATTTAATTATAGAATCCATGAACTGTATCACTATTTAAACAGAAAAATTAAATACCTTTAATACTCTTTAAAGATGAAGAATTTAATGTTTATAATATCTATTATAATATATAGTTTTTTCGTCTAATAATTTTTTGTTTGAAATAGAGAGTACCTTTCATAAATATACTAAAACAAAAGTTAGTGCACAACTACAAATGCTGTCTATGTCATGCACAATGCTGCAAGTATATACAGCATAATGGGCTACAGTCGTATAATTATGTATGCATATAATTACAGCACATCCTTTAAGAATGTCATAACAAATAATGATAAATCACCAAATTGATTGAGCAATTTTTCCTTATGATTTTATACACTACATATATATATATATATACATTTCTTTAATTATTTCCTTTATTACTTACATTTTTTTTCTGTAAACTGATGAAGCAGGCATGACTTGCCCACTCCCATATCTCCTATGATGATGTACTTAAAGATATAGGAATAATTATATGGACCGGTCGACATTTTGCACCTGCAATAAAGATTTTAAGAAAATAGTATTATATTTCTTGCAACTATCTATTATTATTAATTATTCTGCAAGAGATTAAAGCTCATAATCTACCATGAAAGTTCTTTAAATAATATTTCCTTGTAAACTTATTGTTGAGATATCTACAATGGATTATGCTAATCCCACACTTCATGAAATATCTCACGATCTTTTGTTTTCATTTAGCATGAGATAAGACATTATATGACTCATAAGAGTATACTAACATCAGATAAGAATTTTTTAATGCAGGTAAATAAATTTAAGACAGCTATACTTGTAATATAATTAAAAAATTAATAAAATCTTTATATAATTATCAATTTTGATAAAGAAATTTAATATTATACCTATTCATTTTTTAAAATAAATTATACAGTTTTTTTTTTACCAAAGAGAGAAATTATTTTATTAATTTATTATTATAAATAGATATAATATTACATTTCTTTATCAATCAAAATTGATAATTAAAAATTTTTTTAAATTAATTTTGGAATTATATTACGAATGTAGCTCGTAATAAAATTAATTAAGTTCTTTAAGAGAGAGATTCATCTCTCTTAAAAATACAACTATATAAAATTCTTTTAAGTTAAAAAAAAACATATATCTGATAGTGAATGACACACAGAAACGTTGTTTACGAATATAAGCATTAATAATTCATGAATAGTCTGGGATAAAAATTATCCTCGTCAGAACTGACATTCGCAAATCGGGCGATATTGAATTACTCGGCTCTCAAGACAGATTCAATTGAATTTGACGGAGAACAAGGAACGTGCGTTCGTCGAAGGCAGAGCTTTCTTGAGCTCCGTGGATGCGGATACGTCGAGGCAACAACGTCAACAATACACCCGCACTGCCCACTCCCATAATTACGTTACGCCTAATTAACGCGATTTTCGCGATCGGTGAGGACACGCAAGAAAGTCTATGAGAGACAGGCGTGACACGAACCTGTCGCGTTCTTGAATATTGAATCTTGAATATTCACCGAACTGATGATAACTGGCGTTAGGAGATAAGGAGCAGGAGTCCGATGTCAACAAAGCACGGAAGATTACTCACACGCTCGTGGAACGGCGCCGTGTAGTGGAAGGCT